CTATGTGAGTCACAGCATGATCATTTGTTCGGATTTGAAATAGTCCATTACTCTTTAATCAACTTACACAATGACCAATGACATAATGGCTGCTCTGATGATTTAATTTTATGGGACCTGTTGATCAGTGCTGTAGGCGGATGAAGCTGGTTCATCCCTCCCATGAACTATTTATTTTTATCGATCATAGTGATAGTGGACGATTTTTTCGGCGATTAGAATGATTCAAAGCCTTAAAACCTCAGCTTTCCGATGTCTTAATGATCTATAGGTGATTGTACTTTTTTAGAAGATTACGTATTAAATACATAGCTTTCAAACAAGTATAATTATCAAATTAGGATTATGACTTACTTTCGGACTAGCACGAAAAAATATTTCTTCGAAAATGTGTTACTCTTAATTTCGACTTTATTTTTTTTTCTCCGTCAGTGTTGGCTATACAAAAAACCTACCGCAAAAATGCTAGTGACTTTTATCTTCGGAAACAAGAACTGCAAGCGAGCCTGAAAGTTTCCTCTAAAAGCTTGAATCACAACGGTTTGTATTTAAATCTTCGAGGTGCTACGACAAATCACAATTTTTTATTCCTCTCCAATTTTTGCAGTTCTGAAATACATCTTCAAATACAAACTGGTTGGTTTGTTGGTTTACATGATCTATTTGATTCAGACATCCGCACTGGCGACTCGGATGTCAAATTGTCGTGCTGTAGTTTTATTCATTTATTTATTTACCTTTTTAGTATCAGTGGTTGTCGGGATCGTGTACAAGGATCTCCATGAACTATTGATTACAGATCAACCCTTCAAAACTGTAATGGGCACCACAAGGTGAGGTTATCCTCTTAAGTTTCTTAACCAAACGCCCCTTCCATCGAAAATACACAAAAAAAGAAACTCTAGGGGTTGAAACTATAAGGTCGTAAATTTTTCAAAACCCTATCGACAAATAGTTAGTCATATGAATCAATGATCTTTTCCGTGTTGCATAAAATAGCCTTTAAGTAACACTGGTTTGTATAGGCTCCTAGCTTGCTATTCTCATTAAAAAAAAATTAATTACTATGCTTTAAATAAATCTATTTCATACTGATTTTCTATTTTCTCTGAAGGTATTTGGACTCCTGGATAACTGCCGTGGCTTTAGACCCAAAACCAGAAAAATTACTAGAGAATGTCATCTTCAGGTTCAAAAATCTGAAGGTAAGAACACGATCGAAATCAGTACAATTGTTTTACGTTGTGATATTCTTTACGAGTATGTGGTTTTAACGTTTATATTCCGAGTACAGATTCATGAAGGAGAGAAGAAATGCATGTTTTGGAGTGGCTTAAGTGAAAGGTAACAGCTGAAATTTACTTTTCATCCTGTTCCAGGAGTAACTGATTCTTCATTCTCAAATTATATAATGAATGTTATACTAAAATGGGTGTTTTTCTAGGTTTACTATTAGCTGTCAATAATTTCTCACTCGACTTCGATGCGACATTGAGACTTTCCCTACGTTCTAAAAAGGCCTTTCAAGGTCAATCTGAATGTTCGTTAAATGAAAGTATTGATTTGTTGAATGTCATTTTTTTCTTAGGAGGTTTTGTAATTGCTGTTTCCATAGCTATATCTATATATCTATTGCTTTTAGATTCCTTCCATTTATTTTAATTATACGTTTACTGATTTGTTTGTTTGCATTATCGTGTTTATTTGTTTCTGTGTTTCTTGCCTTGCTTGTTTCCTTGTTTGCTTATTCACCTAGGTTAGGGTGTATCGATGTTTGATGATTCTAACTAAGAATTGTGCCGAGCCTGAATATCAATATCATCAGTGCACCATTTGCCTCAGATTAAAAGTGCTTACAGTGATTACTCAGAGGCAAATCCATTAGTGACAGGGAGAAGATGTCGACAAAAGCCAAATTCGAAAGTACTCAACGATGTGTAGAGGTGATAAACTCGGTGGAAGCAAGACAGAAATTAAACTTATCAGTGCCCTGATAATTTTTCTTTATTTTTCTTTTGATCATTATCTTTATTATTATTTTTATTTTATTTATTATTTTATTCTTTTCAGTTCAGGCGGATTTTCGGAGACAGGATGCCACTTAGTTACTTCGAAAAGCAACTCAGAAGAAACAGTTTGCAGCTGCAATCATTTGACTCATTTTGCTGTCTTACTTGACTACAACGGTAGCCCGGGGGTAATGAGTTTATTTTCACCTTACCTTTAGCATTGGTAATAAAATTGCGTTGGAATAAGTAAAAAATTGGCTATCTCTTCATCTCTCCACAGCTCACAGAGGAAGACGAAACTATTCTGGAAATTATCACCTACGTAGGACTGAGTCTTTCCATCTTCGCGATTCTTTTGACAATTATTCTATATTCCTACCTCACGTAAGTACGGTAACCACACGTTCAAAGAACTAAGTCTTTGCATGAACTTAAAGGCTTTAGGGCTAAGAACAGACAAGTTCTTTAAAAAAAAATCGATTTAATTAAAATGTGTATTGAACAAATAACAGTAATAACGAATAAAGGTGATTAAAATGTAATAGAGATTAATTAAATTTATGTGCGAAAGCAGGTAAGATGTCTAAACTAGTACAATACAAAATTAGTGGAATACCTTGTCAGATATTGCTTCGTTTTGTTTTTGTTTCTGTCTCGCCTTTGGTTTTTTTCTGTTTGTTTGTTAGCTTTTTTTATTGCTTGCTTGTTTCACTAGAGACGTATGGCAACCTTTGACTCAAATACGACTGAGTCTTTCTGCGTCCCTTGGAGCTGGACAAATAATCTTTCTTACCGGCATAAACGCCACAGAAAATACGGTGAGTGTTGTATTGATCTATTCGTGGTTTATCTGCTTTTTAGGGGCTTTAAAGATTCCCTAGAAATTAATATGAAAAAGCCACAAAAGCTTTTTTTTTCTCTCGCAGGCTCTCTGCGTCCTAGCAGCAGCTTTCTTGCAGTATTTCCTGATGGCAGCTTTCTGTTGGATGCTGGTGGAAGGAATTTATTTCTTCCTGTTTGTCGTGAAAGTTTATAACATCAACACCAAGATGCATATGTATCACTTCATATCATGGGGTATTTATATTTCACTTGATTTAGATTATTATAAGCTGCTGAATCGGAAACGCCTCAAAATTGGACGCGTGACCTCTCCAGTTGCGCTAACTTTCTTCTTCTTATGTTTAGGTTTACCCATCATCATGGTTAGCATTTCAATAAGCATCGCCGCTGGAAAAGATGGAATTAAAAGCTATACCAGTGAAAACTAGTATGAGAAACAGTCAATAATACAGCTGCAGTTTGTTCTCTCTTCTTCCTCTTCTCTCTCTCTTTTCATTTAAATAATCAGCATTTCACGACGTATTGCTGCTGTTAAGATCTCTTGCCAGTTTTCCATCATAACCCTATTTGTTTTCGCTGGGAGTTGTCTTGTTTTATCGTGTTGTTGTGTTTGATTGTGTCGTGCTGTGAAGATTTTTTTCTCTACATTAATATTTTTTATACACTCGTTTCCAGTTGCTGGCTTTCCTCAACAAATAAC